CAAAATTGTTGTGGATCAAAACAAAGATTTGATAAATTTGTGTATCTGCCCCTTTCCAAATCAATTAGATAGTGCGTGCACGCTTCCTGAGTAATTCACACCAGACACAAGTTTCTAGGTTAATGAAAAAGTCAGGAATGTTTATTCCGGGGGGCTGGTAGGCCCTTTATAAGGCAGTAACACATCATATGCATAATTATAGATAACAGAAGAAAATACATCAATAATTGGTTAGGTGTTAAGTGGTTCATCAATTGCTCATCCTACCGGGTGTGACGTCACTGACTTCATGGAGCTCTCCTCCAGATTCCAGCACCATCTTGTTAATTGAGGGTGTTAGTCGATGACAGGGGAAACTCCCTAGCGGCCATCTTAAGTAGTTTACAATTAATATTGGTTATAGCTATGCAAAGTAAATAGGCATTTTACAAGAATTTAGTAGAGTTAATATTCTGTCCACAACAATATATATATATCACAAGCATAATTTTATTTATTAATTATGTTTATAATATATAATATATTTATCCATAATACACTTGGAAATTACACACACACACACACACACACACACATATATATATATATATATGTATGTATATATATATATATATATATAAATATATATATATAATGTAAGAAGGGTTTGACATTTGCCAAAGGGTTTTTACTAATATTTTAAATTTTAAAAAGTGAAAATCTAAATTTCATAATTTAAACCAAAATAGCGGATTTTAAACAAAATTTCAAAATGGGAATAGTGACACCTTGACTATTGTAGCCTAAATTTTACAATTTACATTTTTAATTCACAAAAATTATTAGTTTAGTGGATAACCCTGCCAAACTACATACAACGAAGAGTGCACTCATAGGACTGAGGACTAAACAAAATAAAATGTATTTAAATCAGACGTGCAGCAGCATTCAGTCAATGTTTCATTCCCATTACTGGACCTTTCAAAATTATAAGGATGAAACGTTGAAGTAAGATGTTGCACATCTGATTAGAATAAAACAGCTCTTTTGTTTATTTTAAGTTTATTTAACCCCTTAAGGACACAGCTTCAGAAGTTTGACTTACACTTAATGACACAAGCAATTTTTGCATTTTCTTGCTGTTTGCGTTCAACTGCAATTTGCATCTCTCTCATTTATTGCACCGACACATATTACATACTGTTTTTTAAAGGACAGAAAGGGCTTTAATTTGATATAACATATATATATATAAATGCTTACTTATTATAAAAAAAATACAGAAAAATGCAAAAAAAATGAAAAATATTGTTTTTTTTTTACAGTTTTTGCAATAATAATGTGTGCATAATTAGTGCAGGTTAAGGAAAGTAATTAAAAATAAATTTATTTATTTGTTCTGATTTACAGAATATATAATGTGTCTGGGATTTTAAGTTTTTTTTGGTAGTTACAGGTCACAAAGCACAAGGAGTAAAATAAACTTTTAATGTGGAGCGATTTTAGAATTTGGTATGTTTGTCTTGTAAGCTTAATAGCCATAAAAGAAAACAAAATTGCCACACAAAAGTATATATTTATATAAAGTAGACATCACGGGCTATTTACCTAAGGTTGTTTTGACACTTTCTACGTAGCCATTTCACCGCCAACCTCTGCTAAATATTGGAGTAAAATTGTGTTCTTTTTGGTTTTTGGCACACAAACTTATAACAGAGAAATTCTCGTGTATATTTTGTAAAGTTGGTGTGTGCTATTCCTGTACAAAGTTTTATTTTGTGTTCAGTTACATCTGCTGAGTAAAATGACACCCCCATTGTATGTCTTTTGCACTATTTCGTGAAGTTACAGTGCCATACAGGATACCTGTCCTTTTCAGTATTCACAGTAGAATTTTGAGAGATGAATTTAATGAGCCTTAGCTTCCATTTGGGGTATTATAACAGTTTGACTGTTCAAAAAACCCCCACAAAGGCCTACCATTTGTAAAAGTAGACACTCCAGGGTATCTTATAAGGTGCATATTGTGCCTTAACATGCCCCCATTTTTTCACCAATATATGCCAAAGTATGTGGTAAAAAATAATTTTGTGCATTTTTTACATACGGATTGCATTTTTGCTGGGCGTTTTGTATATTTCATATGTGCCACTAAGTTCAAACCCCCCAAATTATGCTCAGCTAAGTCTTCTGAGTAAAATGACACCCCATATGAATGTCTTTGTCACTATTTCGTGAAGCTACAGTCCCATATAGGAGACCTGTCCTTTACAGTATTCACAGTAGAATTTTGAGAGATGGATTTAATGAGCCTTAGCTTCCATTTGGGGTATTATAACAGTTTGACTGTTCAAAAAACCCCCCACAAAGGCCTACCATTTGTAAAAGTAGACACTCCAGGGTATCTCATAAGGTGCATATTGTGCCTTAACATACCCCCATTTTTTCACCAATATATGCCAAAGTATGTGGTAAAAAAATTATTTTGTGCATTTTTTACATACGGATTGCATTTTTGCTGGGCGTTTTGTATATTTCATATGTGCCACTAAGTTCAAACCTCCCAAATTATGCTCAGCTAAGTCTTTTGAGTAAAAATACACCCCCAATGAATGTCTTTGTCACTATTTTGTGAAGCTACAGTGCCATATAGGAGACCAAGCCATATCCGTTTTTACCAAACTTTGAATTTTGACGCTGTGCCTATGTGCAATTTCCAAGCATCTTCGCAGGTTTTAAATTCAAACTACCCCACAAAGGCCTACCATTTCTTAAAGTAGACACCCCAGGGTGTTTCAAAAGGTATAGTTTGAACCTTAGCGTGGGATCATTTTTCCGCTAGCTTGTACCAGATGTAGTGGTAATAAGCGTTTTTTCTGCCTTTTTGACATACAAAGTGAGTTTGCACAGTATATTTTGCAAACCTTATGTGTGCTACGACTGTATAATACTTCATATGTTGCTCAGCTATGTCGGCTGAGTACAGCAATACCCCCGTATGTACCTTTGCCAGGTATGTGTGGACATCGGAGGGGCACATTTGGGACACAGCCATTCCAGTTTTTTTCAAACTTTGAATTTTTATGCTGTGCCTATGTCCCATTTTAGAGTATTTTACCAGGCTATATAATCCAAATTCCCCATAAAGCCATACCATTTCTTAAAGAAGACATCCCAGGGTATTTCAAAAGGCATATTTTGAACCTCAGCGTGGGATCATTTTTCCGCTAGCTTGTACCAAGTGTAGTGGTAATAAGCATTTTTCTGCCTTTTTGACATACAAAGTGAGTTTGCGCAGCATATTTTGCAAACCTTATGTGTGCTATGACTGTATAATACTTCATATGTTGCTCAGCTATGTCGGCTGAGTACAGCAATACCCCCGTATGTACCTTTGCCAGGTATATGTGGATGTTGAAGGGGCGCATTTGAGACGCAGCCATTCAGTTTTTTTCTAACTTTGAAGTTTTACGCTGTGTCCATGTTCCAATTTGGAGTAGTTTAGACGGTTGGTTATTGAAACTTCCCCACAAACACATACTATTTATTAAAGAATACACCCTGGGGTAATTCAAAAGGCATATTTTGAACCTTGGCGTGGGATAATTTTTTCTCTAGTTTGTTCCAGGTGTAGTGGTAATGAGCGTTTTTAAAATGTATTTTTTTACTTTTTATAACTTTTTTACTTTTAAAAACTAGTTTTTAAACTTTTGTTTTGCTTATAAATTTTTTTTAAACTTTCCTAAACTTTCTTAAAACTTTTTTACAGATTTAACATTTTTCTAAGCTTTTTTTTTTTACCGTTAACCCCTAACTAGCAGTACGCAGCAGTAACAGTAAATTCCCCATTTTCCCATAACTCCCACCCACCCCAGCTAGCAAAATATATAGTTATAAAATATTTAAATTAATTAATTAAATAAATTGAACCCCTGAGGGTTAAAAAATAAATAAAAGTTAATCCTCAGGGGTTAAAAAAAATTAGATCACAGTATAATACTGTGATCTCTATTTGATCGCTGTAGGCAGTGATCGACTGGCAGGGAAGGGGTTAATTTTTATTTGGACTAGGTAAAGTGTGTTTTTTTTGTTTTTTTTTACTTAAATGTTATTAAAACATTTTTTTAAGCTTAATTTTTAACTTTTTAAAGTTTCTTTTAAAACTTTTTTAACGTTAACCCCTAGTTAGCCTAACGCCAAATCCCCCAATTCCCCACTAACTTCCACCCACCCCAGCTATCTAAATATATAATTTAAAAATAATTTAATTAATTTAATTAATTTAACCCCTGAGGGTTAAAAAAAAAAGAATTAACCCTCAGGGGTTAAAAAAAAAATCAGATCATAGTAAAATGTAATCCCTGCCAATTGATCACTGTAGTCAGTGATCAATTGGCAGGGAATGGGTTAATTTTTTATTAAAATGGGTAAGGGGGGGGACACTTTAAATAAACTTTATTTTTTTTAACAGCAGGGGGCAGGATCATCACTGATCCGGCTCCCTGCACTTCACACAGAACCCGGAAGTGCAGGGAGCCGGTAGGTGAGTATACAGAGCACATGTGCTCGCTCAGACTTGCGGTCAGAGCGAGCACATGTGCTGGGCAGCCTGACCGGGTGCTCCCGGTATGCCTCCAATGCAGAGGCATACCGGGAGCACCATTAACCCCGCGATCGCCGCAATAGCGGCGATCCGGGGTTAATTTTACCGCGTGACGGACGAGGTCCGTCACCCGTCGTTAAGGGTCTCCCCTGTGTGACGGACCTCGTCCGTCACCCGTCCTGAAGGGGTTAAGAGTGCGCTCCTTCTTGTTGGTTAAATAATTGTAACTGTACATCTGTCACAGCTGGCACAATTAATGATAGGGCTGGTATAACATTTCTCCAGGGCTGCTTTTTATTCCCAATCCGGCCCTGCTCACTAGTGTTCTGATACATCCACCTCACCAGGTTTTGCTACTTTACCGCCAGTTAAGGAGTTGAGGCCTATCAACCAAAATGGTCACTACCCCAGACTTGCCATGAGCACACCACCCACGTTTGTGGAACCAATACTCCTGGCAGTTGAACGCATCGGCTATCTATTTTGTGGGAAGCTCTACAGCAGGGAACTCGCCTACTTTCCTGTTAATGAACCCCCCGAGCTGTCCTGTGGACCATTTCCAAGTACATATATCTCTACCACGTGTCTCCACATCAAAGCAATACACGCTTGTCTGCTCACTACCGCTTACCTTGCCTGCAAATTAACAAGCCCCTTTACTCCCAGCGGGACCGGCCCGAACCGGAGACTTCCACTTCGTGCGGCCAGGCGCACAGGGGGAACAACACCGCAGACACAAGCAATTTCTGCAGACATGATAACTTTTTTGGAGCTGATCGAAGCGGACCTTCTGGCGGATGGGGCTCCTTGTGGGGGCTTCTCTGAGAACACTGTAAAGAGGGGGGGCTGTGACTCTACATCTTCGGGCATTAGCTGAAGGGCATAGGGGCTGCAAAGATGGAGAGACAGGAAGTAGAGAGAGTATATCAGGTTGCTAAATTATAATGGGGGGGGTAACCCCTACACTTAAATTACTAAAAACTGTTTTTTTAGTAATTGAAGGGCATAGGGGCATTCATGGCAGTTTGGCTGATATCTCATAGTGTAGTTAACACTGTGACCTAACTCCTAGTACTGAATTTCCTAGTAGTGAATTTAAAATCATGTCTATGTTAAGACTTATGTGTTCTCTATTTGGCATATGTATATTTAGTAATTCACAGACGGAGGATACCGCACTCACACTTGGGAATCCAGGTGCTTATCAGGGCCAGGGTTGGCAAAACCCGGTTTAGAAGGTAAAATAAATTAGGTCCAGCCACTCAGGATTGCTGCAGAAAGGCAGGTCTATTGGAACAAAAAGGCCTACACAGAGGCCTTTATCAAATAGGTGTATTTAGGATATGCAAGTTCCTTGCTGTTTTATTGACAGGTTCAACAAAGTCTTATGTTTCAACCAAATAATATTTACCACAAGAAAAAAGTGAATCTAAAATAAGTACCCTTTAAAACATTATGACTATTCCATAAATGCCAAAGTATCTAAATTCAAGATGCAAAGGTACTAACGTTTCAATCTGTGGATCCATTCCGTTTCTTTTTTAGTGAGGATGTTTTCAGTATCCCCCTCCCCCCCCCTCTCCAATGTGGGACTACTAAGCCTATTTCTGAACAAAAAGGTTGAAACAGAACTCTTTACATTCATTTCAATGTTTAGGTACACTGTGCTTCTATTTATAAAGTTAAAATGCTCTATTAGCTAACATGTAATTTCCTAGTAGTTCTACCTGTGTATCGGATACCGAATTTACATTGTGTCAGATTACAGTCTTACTCTCACAGCTGACAAAATGCTTGATTTGAAAACAACACTTTTTATAAAAGTGTTTAGGTTTTACTATATATTAAAAAAAAAAAATCTTTAGATTATGATTTGTGTTAGCTACTGTATTTAAGATTTTCAGTCCTTATAAATTATTTTAGGTTTGTTTGTATTTTAAATACCTTTTAACATTCGTGCAGTTTTGATAATGTTTATTAATTGCTTTTTAATGAAAATCGCTTTGCTATAGTATTTGGTTAAAAAAAGCGGTGTGTGCCCCCAATTACCAGTTTATTTAGTGCACCAAAGTGTGAGGGGAACCGGAGAGAAAGGATATTGGTAGAGTATCCTATGGAGTGGAATACCCCACTAGTTGCAGGAAACAGTAAGGGTACAGTAGAGAACTTAAGGGACACCCAGACCACTTCTGCCCATTGGAGTAGTCTGGGTGCCAACTCCCACTAACCCTAACCCTGCAACTCTAATTATTGCAGTTTTTTATAAACTGCAATAATTACCTTGCAGGGTTGACTCGTCCTCTAGTAGCTGTCTACTAGACAGCCACTAGAGGGCACATTCTGCTGTGTGAGGACCTCCAGCGTTGCTCACTTCCCCATAGGAAAGCATTGAAAATAATTTTCAATGCTTTCCTAAGGAGAGCTCTAATGCGCATGGGCATTAGGTCTCCTCAGCCAGTGGGCGGGATCAGTCTCCCCCGCCGGCTGACGTAATGAAGAGGAGGATCGGCGGCGACCCGAAACAACCGCCGAGGGACATCGGCGGGGGTCTCAGGTAAATGTCTGAAGGGGTTTTCACCTCTTCAGCAACCGGGGATCTGGGGTGGGAGGGAGAGGGGACCTGCAGTGCCAGGAAAACGGCTTGTTTTCCTGGCACTGGAGAGTCCCTTTAACGTGCAACCTTAATGCGTGAATATTAAAACTTAACTTTTAATAATACATTTCTAATATGTAAAAACTGGTGAGAGTCAACACCCCAAAACACTAGTGTGTAAAACAAAATCGTTGTCTCCACTATATTTGTTCCTAATAAAAGGATATTATTCCTTCCTTCTCTCCCTTTCTGGAGCACCATGCAGGAAGTACTCCTTTTTATAGTGTGCATTAGACTCTTGTTTTCTTGTCACTACAAAGCTAAACTATTTTATTAGATCTAGAAATGGACCAAAGGTTACCAATGTGTCCCCTAGATTTTAGTCTAGATCTTTCATGTTGTTTTTTCAATGTATTACAATTCACAGTTTAATGAATGGACCTCTAAATGTTATATAATAATATAGTATATCCATATTTAAACATAGATTCTTCAATAATCAGATTTGATAGATTGTGTATTATGACACGCTGGTGAGGTGTGGACCTGTGACCTGTGTAACATCATAGTGACATCATTGCAGCATCATGCCTGATGACCACAGTTTACAGTATTCACTAGACATTGCTTGGACAGTTGACACTGCTTAGCTTTCGTAGTGATCAAGTAACTAAAAATGTCAGCGAGAAATATTTTCTCTTGTTTCCGATGCTTGTGCTTTAGAAAAGTAAGTAGATTTCTTTGTTTCTTATACTTACTATTAACTGGGAGCTCTAAAATGTTAACCCAATCAACACTAGTTCTATGAACCCCTTAACTTATTATATTATGTTTAAATTCCCATGGCAGCATATGGACTCCCTTTTTTTTTTTGTTCTTTAAAGTTATTATAATTGGCATTTATATAGCACCAGCTTATATTGCAGCAGTTTACAATATTACAAAACGAGGAAGTTAAATATATTTTTAAAACGTGTTTAAGCCATAAGCCCACCATTTCACCTAAAGGTTCTGGCTAATGACGTACTAATAATGTACACCTCCAGCAGCCTTATTAAATAGTTCTACTGAAATGCTGCGCATACAGTCTTCAAGCACTATGACCACTTCATATAACTGAAGTGGTAAGGTGCTTGAAGGAATTTTTTAAATACATTTTGGTGGGAGCTATCTTTCCTACAGCTAATAGTACATGTGATTAGAATTAGAATGCTTCAAATTCTATTATACTAGTACATGTGCACTGTAGTTTTAGCATATATACTACAAAGGAAACTAAAAATATTCAAATGCTATAAGACAACTGTAGCCTAAATCACTAAGACGTTTATTCACCAAACAGCAAGTGGATGTAAATTTTAAAATAAACTGAAAAGAGCTTGGAAATATTCTCTCTGTATTAGTTAGCCTCTAGAAATGGACCAAAGGTTACCAATTTACTTACCATTAACTGGGAGCTCTAAAATGTTAACACAAACAACACTAGTTCTGTGAATCCCTTAACTTAATATTTTATGTTTAAATTCCCATGGCAGCCTATGGACTCCCCATTTTACTTTGTTCTTTATAGTTAAATACATTTGTAGCCATAAGCCCACCATTTCACTTAAAGGTACTGGCTAATGACGTACTAATAACGTACACAGCAGCATTATAAAATAGTTCTGTATTTATACCGAAATGCTGGTTTTCTGATTTCGTTTCTGTCTTTTCAGCGCACAAGACGCAAAAAATCTGATGATGTTGAGCAAAGAGCAGAGGAACGTTCAGGTACATTATAAAATGTTTATATCTACCTCCATTGTGACTGAACCAGTTTTTAACTTGCCGTGTTACCCTCCTGCAGTCTGATAAGAGCCGACATGTTCGGTTCCAGTTTGGTGTTACATTCTCTGCAACACTGCCTTTGCTACATGTCTACTATCTCTTCTCCTCTATTTGGGAACTGTAACAGTTCCTCTAAAATGAATGAGTGGCATACCTCGTGATATAACTCTGTTACTCTCTTACATAATTAATAGCGCTCATTGGGAAGGAGGAAGGCAGGTTAACACCCATACAGGTACTAGCCGCACTCCTGCCACTTTTGATAGCTAATGGATGCAGGACAAAATCTACCTGGCTTTCTCAGTGTTAGTGTATGGTGAGGTTAAAGGGTGGGTTAGGGATAGTATAGGGTTAAGGCTAGGGTAGTGTACTGTTAGAATGAATGTAGAGTTAACAGGGTTGGTGTAGGATAACGGGTGGTATAGGCAGTGGCATAGCATGGATTTTCAGCATCTGTGGCAAGGCATGTATTGCACCCTCTAACCCTAGTCTATACATATTACTTTAGGCGTGAGGTGGATTTTAAAAATGACGCAACACATCTTTCAGTGCCACACACACATCATGGAGATGAGGCGGGCAGGGAAGAGGAGTGAGGCTATCTAGGTGCCCGTTACTTGTATACTTTTATGATAACATGTAATGGGCATTTACATAATGCCTATTAAAGAGTGATTTCTGGTGTTATCTTTAAACAGGAAATCACGTTATTAATAGGCATTATGTAATTCACCAATAAGAATTACAGAAGGACAGTATGGCTGTGATTAGGAAGCAAACTACTGTAAAATGTGATGTAGTGACGTTTATTTGCCCTGTCATGCTGAAAAACTGTATAATGTTTGAACATTGGGAGATTTTCTGGGTGATTGGGAGGGCGCGCTATTTTTAAAAATATATTACTACTCCTTTCTTTTTTTTCTTTTGAAATTTTGGGGCCCAAAGAATTTTGCTCCCAGGGCAAGCGGCTCTGTGGCCCAGCCCACGCTACACCAGTGACTATAGGGTTTCTGTACCAAAAATTACTTTAGATCCTAGATTGCTGCTTTTTGTGTCAACAAAAGTGGCTTACCTACATTTTTATTTTAACCTGGACAGAATAGTACCAGCTGCCACCATTTCTAATTAGGTTTTGTCTTATTACTAATTTTCCAGTATGTTCCAAGACTTCAGTTGCTCTTGAAGGTGACCCAAGTGCCCCTGCAGACAATGGGAATTTAACTGCACTGCAAAAACAGCTCGAAATTGAGCTTAAGTTGAAGCGAGGTGCAGAGAATATGTTCCTGGCATATTCCAAAGGCCCTCCAGAAAACCTTAAATATCTTGAGGCATTGCAGGAAAAGCTTGAAGACATCGAGAATGAGATAGAACGTTTGCAGGCACTAATTGACCAAGAAAACTTTATTAATAAAGATGAAACAACTGCACCAGTTCCAGAAACTGATGTCACCGATGTAACGTTGGAGACACCTCCTATTCCATCTCCAACACCTTCACATAGTGATCAACATCAGTCTTCAGGACACACTGAGAGAACGGATATATCGGTTCAGGTAAAACTATATGCTTTTTTTTGTGTTTTGTTCTTTTCCCCACACATTCACGTCTAGTATCACACCCATGGTTTTTGTTTGTAATTCTTCATTTGCCGATCGTAAACAATGTCGACTTATAATGATCTGGAGTCAAACGTATAATGAGTACAGCCAGAGCCCAATATGTAAAATGTACATTTTATTTTGTAGGTAGTTTAATTCTTCAAATTATTGGTGTGGTTTAAGTAACAAAAAGACTTATACCAGTAAGTGGAGCGCTCCAACACATATACAGCTTACCAAATGGTATTTCATTCAATGGTAGAGTATAGGGTGCATGTTAAGAAAAAAATACAAGGAATACAATATAGTGCAGACGGTATTGAAAATAATAATGTAACTGCAGTGATGATATCTGGATAAATTGAACACTCACATTTCAAGAAGCCTGTATGTGAGAACACTGGCGCCGTATTTTGGCTTATGTGCTTATTAGGGTAGAACCACCCGTCTCCTTCGGTATGGGGTAGTTCTCAAAGACAAAAACAGGAAGAGCAAACCAATGTGTTTTTGTCTTTGAGAACTACCCCATATCGAAGGAGACGGGCGGTGCTACCCTAATAAGCACATAAGCCAAAATACGGAGCCAGTGTTCTCACATACAGGCTCCTTGAAATGTGAGTGTTCAATTTATCCAGATATCATTACTACAATTACATTATTATTTTAAATACTGTCTGCACTATATTGTATTCCTTGTATTTTTTTCTTAACATGCACCCTATACTCTACCATTGAATGAAATACCATTTGGTAAGCTGTATATGTGTTGGAGCGCTCCACTTACTGGTATAAGTCTTTTTGTTACTTAAACCACACCAATAATTTCAATTCTGTCTTGTGGAATAGAGGATATTTCCACATAAGTGTACTGAGCAGCCTGTAAATCACCTTATTTGTTTAAAGCACCCTGTTATACACACTCCTCTGTAAAAGGAGGTAACCTTTGATTGGTATTCATAGATAGTTTAATTCTTCAATTTGTCCTGAAGCATCAGATACAGGAGTTTTAATAACTATAGGCAGGGCCGGATTAACATAGGGGCTGATGGAGCTGCAGCTCCAGGCCCAGGCCCATGGAATAGGCCCATTGATTCATTAAAAAAAAAAAAAAAAATTTCATTTAAAAAAAAAAAAAATTTTTTCACACACTACTCTTAGGGATTCCACCTGGCTTTTATTTTATTGGCACAGCCAGTATTTGAGGCTGCCTGGCTGGTGCAAATATTACAGTGATACTGGCAATACAAATGCTGGTATTTTTCTCAGTATAAACAAGAGATTACTATGCAATACCAGCACTGGCCAACAGGGGTCACTGTGTGTGGAGAGAGGCAAGGATAGGAGGTTCCAGCATATCCCTCCCTGCCTATCTATACTCACACAGTGTCCCCATGTCTCCCAGTGTCCCCATGTCTCCCAGCCAGTGTCCCTGGTGTCTCAGTGCCCCCTAGTCTCCCAGTGCCCCCAGTCTGCCAGTGTCTCACTGTCCCCATGTCTCCTAATGCCTCCATGTCTCCCAGTGCCTCAAGTGTCTCAATGTCCCCATGTCTCCAAGCTAGTGTCCCTAGTGTCTGTGGCCCTGGTGTCTCCTTGTCCCCATGTCTCCCAGTACCCCCATGTCTCAATGTCCCCATGTCCCCCAGCCAGTGTCTCTAGTGTCTGTGTCCCTGGTGTCTGTGTCCCCATGTCTTCAAGTGTCCCCTATTTTCCCAGTGTCCCCATGCGTCCGATCCAGAGTCCCCTAGTCTCCCAGTGTCACTGATGTCTCCGTGTCCCTAGGTCTCCCCGTGTCCCCAGGTCTCCCCGTCTTCCTAGTGACATGGGGACCCTGGGATACATGGGGAAACAGGGAGACATGGGGCATTGAGACACTGTGATACATAGGATCACTGAGAGACCTGGGGACACGACACTAGGGGACACTGGGAGACATGTGGCACTGAGACACTGATACATAGGAACACTGAGACCTGGAGTAATCGACACATGGGGGCACTGGAAGACATGGGGCCTCTGGGAGGAATTAATCTATACAGCAGAATCAAACTAAGTGGTTTTTGGTGATTTTACAGCATTTTCTCTTATGTCACTCCTTGTGATTTACATCATGTGATGTCACCCATACATATTTAATTATGCAAATTAGCAAGGCCAGTATGTTTTTCCAAGAAAGGTGGCAACCCTAACTACTTTTCACATACTCTGATTTAAGTATGGAAACTTAAGAGGGATGGATAGGAACAAAACTTGTGTGGACTGGCTGACAATGAATATAGTTAAAGGGACACTAGAGTCACCAGAACAACTACAGCTTATTGAATTTGTTCTGGTGAGTAGAATCATTACCGTCAGGCTTTTTGCTGTAAACACTGTCTTTTCAGAGAAAATGCAGTCTTTACATTACAGCCTAGTGATAACTTCACTGGCCACTCCTTAGATGGCTGTTAGAGATCCTTCCTGGGTCATGGCTGCCTAAAATGCATCCAAACATTCAGTGTCTCCTCCCTCTGCATGCAGACACTGAACTTTCCTCATAGAGATTCATTGATTCAATTCATCTCTATGAGGAGATGCTGATTGGCCAGGGCTGTGTTTGAATCATGCTGGCTCTGACCCTGATCTGCCTCCTTGTCAGTCTCAGCGAATCATATGGGGAAACACTGTGATTGGATCAGACTACCACTTCTAATGATGTTAGCAGACTGCCTGTTTTTCTGAAAACAGCATGCAGTTACAGCTTCAGGCTTGAATACAGTAAGATTTGCTATATTTATGGAGGCATGAGGGGCCCAGGGGGGCTAGATGGTTAACACTATAGGGTCATGAATTCATGTTTGTGTTCCTGACCCTATAGTGATCCTTTAAGGTAATGCTGACTATTGTCTCTCTAACACTGTGGCATGTTCCCTTTCTTCTACACTCACTACATACAGCTTTTCTCTTGTCCAGACTATATACCAGGAGCTTCTGCCTGCTAGTAAGAAGGTAAGAAGACAAGTGGACCAGCGAGTGCCTGGGGACAGTCCTTAGAAAGTGCTGAGTGAGCGCATCATTAGATGCATTTATGCCAAGCTCAGGGTGCTGTCTGCATAGTATGCCCTTAGTTGGCCAGCTGCATGATTGGCAGGCAGCCTGACATGCATTCATGCCAGGCTGGCCTTCTAATTCTTTGGGCAGACATGTCCTCATTTTGGGCATGTTCGCCCCTTTTGGCAGGTTACCTGATTTGTGTCAATGGCACACCCTTTTACCATGCCCATTGACTTCCTGCTTGACTGTACACTGCTGTTAGGGGTTATGGATTTACTTGAAAGATGAAAACATAAATTAGAGAGAGATTAGCCTAGGGTATGTGTTTTTCTTATAGCTGCTGTTTTCTTTCTCTCCAGCACCATCTTTATCAGATACATGACGCTTGGGAGTGTTTTACTGTTTTTGGTCAATATGATTCTGTAATTAGGCCCGTCATAATTGTCAGCACCAGGTCCACTGGGCTCTTAATCTGGCCCTGGTGTGTATATTTGAGTGTTTAATTGTGTGTGGGAGGTGTTTTTGATGGTATTATGTGTGTGTCAGTATGGATTAGTGTGTGTGTGTGTGTGTCAGTATGGATTAGTGTGTGTGTGTCATGATGGATTAATGTTTGGGTCAGTATGGATTACTGTGTCTGAGTGTCAGTATGGATCAATATATGTATCAGTATGGTTCAATGTATATGTCAGTATGGATTACTGTGTGTGTGAGTGTCAGTATGGATCAACGTATGTGTCAGTATGAATTACTGTGTGTGAGCATCAGTATGGATCAATGTCTGTGTCAGTATGGATCAATGTATGTGTCAGTATGGATTACTGTGTGTTAATGTGTCAGTATATATCAACGTATGTGTCAGTATGAATTACTGTGTGTGAGCATCAGTATGGATCAATGTCTGTGTCAGTATGGATTACTGTGTGTGAGTGTCAGTATGGATCAATGTATGGATCAATGTTTGTGTCAGTATGGATCAATGTATGGATCAATGTATATGTCAGTATGGATTAGTGTGTGTGTAGGTGTCAGTATGGATCAATGTATGGATCCATACTGATCAATGTTTCTATCAGTATGGATCAATGTATGGATCAATGTATATGTCAGTATGGATTACTGTGTGTGTGGGTGTCAGTATGGATCAATGTATGTGTCAGTATGGATTACTGTGTGTGAGTGTCAGTATGGATCAATGCATGTGTAAGTATGGATCAATGTATGTATCAGTAAGGATTATATGCTCAAATGGTTTTATATCACTATATATATATATATATATGTATCGGTATGGATCAATGTATGTATCAGTATGGATCAATGTATGTGTCAGTATGGATCAATGTAAGTGTCAGTACGGATTACTGTGTGTGAGTGTCAGTATGGATCAATGTATGTGTCAGTATGGATTACTGTGTGGGTGTCAGTATGGATCAATGTATGTGTCAGTATGGATCAATGTAAGTGTCAGTAAGGATTACTGTGTGTGAGTGTCAGTATGGATCAATGTATGTGTCAGTATGGATTACTGTGTGGGTGTCAGTATGGATCAATGTATGTGTCAGTATGGATCAATGTATGGATTACTGTGTGTGAGTGTCAGTATGGATCAGTGTATGTATCAGTATGGGTTACTGTGTGTGAGTGTCAGTATGGATCAATGTTTGTGTCAGTATGGATTACTATGTGTGAGTGTCAGTATGGACCAATGTATGGATCAATGTATGTGTCAGTATGGATTACTGTGTGTGTCAGTATGGATTGTGAAGAAATGACTCCGTTAATCAGGATTTCTACCTTTCGGATGTATTCAGGCGAATTCCCTGTGTAAAATATAGGTGGCCGCCATTTCGGCACTTTACACGTGGCCGCAGCCATTTTACGTGCGAACAGCGGTGTTTGCCCGTCTACGCGTGGAACTAAAATCGGATACGCAAACAGGCGAACACCGCTGAGACCTCCATACATCCAGAACTTCGCACGAGAACAACCGAATCACCGGCCGTTCGGTAGTTACATGCAACTTCGTATGGGGATTTCAACGATCACAAAGATGCGAACGGATGGCAGGGCTGTCGTCTCTTTTATTCGCCTAAACGGAGACCGACCGCAGGGCCAAAACTTAT